TTCATATCATTTTCTCGTAAACCATCTCGCTCTTCTCTCTCTCTTAATTTTCCCGTTTGCGTGTTCTTCATATCATTTTCTCGTAAACCATCTCGCTCTTCTCTCTCTCTTAGTTTTCCCGTTTGCGTATTCTTCATGTCGGCCTCCCCTGAATTTACAACTTTTTTTCCCTTTCTTAAACCCCCTTCCAGCTGATTTTTGAATCTGCTATTACCCTCTCCTTCAGCCCCTTCATATAACTTCAATCCACCACACATGCTATTTATTAGTTGATATTCTGCTGGTTCTTCCTTTACCTTCTTCTTTGGTTTTTTTCGATTCTTTTTCTTTTTTCCATATACTATTTTATCACATGCCCTTAATGAACCTGGAAGTGTGTCCATCAGCGATCCTGACTTATCATCATAAAAAGTACTTCTCATAGGGAAATTATGCCTTAACACAGTCAGATTTGGTCCTCCATAACCATGGTTCCTAGGCATGTCGTATGGGCACTTTTCTCTGAATCCGTAATTTGCTGCTTCGTACTTTTCATCACAATCTTTTTTACCATTGTCTATACTCTCCTTTGATCTAAAACGCTTCGATTCATAATTCTCAACATACTCCTTATATCCCCCTGGTATAATTTCCTCTACTATACGTCTCCTAGTTACGCGATTCCTCGGAGCATTACTATGTTTCATCGCTAAGGACCTGCTCCGTAATTCCAAGCCTTGACCAAAATCATTTTTCTCACCTCCTGTTTTGCCATATTTTCTCTGAAAAGTGGGAAAATAAAACAAAATAAGGAAAAAAAAAAAAAAAAAATGGAATAGATATAAAAACATCGTCAAAATACACATATAATCTGACCGCCAGGACTAGGTACACACAATTGCGTATTCTTATATTCTATGGACTTACATTCTCAGAACAATTTAGTATCAAAAGTATAACAAAAACAGAAGTTGCTTTTATAAAAAAGAGAAAAATATTCAATTTCTCTCTCCTATTGTATTTCTTTGTTCTTCCCATATGACTTGTTCTAAAGTTTGTATTTTTTTTTTTTTTTTAATAATGCGTTAACATCAGAAGTAAATAATATTCATACACTAATTCAGTTATTCGTATTTTGCTTGTTTTTCCATATATGGAAAATTTCATACAATATAAATGTGTACAAAATGAAGAACACAAACTTTTTTCTTTCTTTCTTTTTTTTTTTTTTTGTTTTTCTAAACGGCTAAATGGCACTCACAAAAACAATTACACAAATGGTAAAATCCGTAAATAAAAAGATATTAATAAAAATGTGAAAATGTATAGACAGATTTATTCGTCAATTCATGAAATTATCTTAATAATTTTCTTGCAAAAAAAAAAAAAAAAAAAAATGAACAATTAACACATTGGCCAGAATTAAAAAAATCTTAACAAAGAACAAACGGAACACCAAAAAGGCTCAGGTTCAAAATGTGCGTTTAATCTTACTTAGCAAGTAAAAACAGTTATTGTGCTTAAAACACACCCTTCGATCCTTCTCTTTTTAATTGTGTAAACATGTACATAATAATATATACATATTTATATATATAATTATGTATACATAATTATATATACATAATTATATACGTAATTATATATACATAATTATATGCATATTTATATATACATATTTATATATACATAATTATATATACATAAGTATACATACTTATTTGTATACATAATTTATATGTACATATTCATATGCAACTTTTATATAGATATCTATTTACATATTTATATAGATCTTAATACAGATATTTTATATATATTTATATAAATATTTTATACAGATATTTATATTAGATATTTATATAAATATTTTTATACATATTTTTATACATACCTACGTGGAAAATTGTTTACATGTTTGTACAGATCACTTATTTATACATATATGTAACATGTTTTTAAATAGATATTTATTATAAAAAATGATTCTACCGATACGTATTTTACATTTTTATTTACATATTTATAATAGGTATATCTTAACATAGATACTATTATATATATACATATTTTATTGTTACATGTAAATAAGTGCATGTATATGTTCATAAATATACATATTCACATGCATATTTAATTAAGGATCCTAATAATAGTTATTCATTTACATATTTATTCACTGTTTATTTATTTACTTCTATAGATCTTTCTACCGATACTTGTGTACATATTTTTTTACATAGACTTTTTTATAGATACTTATATAGATCTTTCTACCGATACTTATCTACATATTTATTTACTTATTTTACATATTTATTTACATATTTTACATATGTTACATATTATTCATTTACATATGTTACATATTTTTATTTACATAT